GCGGAGGCCGAATGTGAGAAGAAGATGCGAGTGCTGCGCACAGACCGAGGCGGAGAATTCACCTCGACAAGTTTCGGTAAGTACTGTGACGAAAACGGCATACAACGGCACCTAACGGCGCCCTACTCCCCCCAATAGAATGGAGTGGTGGAGCGCCGGAATCAGACCATCGTCGGGACAGCAAGGTCATTGTTGGTGACGGCCGGGATGCCTGGGAGATTCTGGGGAGAGGCAGTAATGACGGCCGTATATCTCCTCAATCGGTCACCAACCCGAAGCCTTGACGGGAAGACACCATATGAGGCCTGGTACAACAAAAAACCAGCGGTACATCATTTTCGCGTGTTCGGCTGCGTCGCTTACATGAAGGTAACACGTCCCCACCTCGCCAAGCTCGATCCTAGGGGGCTGAAGGTCGTTTTTATCGGCTATGAACCCGGGAGCAAGGCGTACAGACTATATGATCCTGTAGGGGGGCGAGCTCACGTGTCTCGCGACGTCGTCTTCGATGAAAGCACCTTCTGGCAGTGGAATGACGTGATCGAGGCAGACCATAATCCAAATCAATTCACGGTGGAGTACCTCGTCACTGAGCCGGAAGAAGGAGGAGCCCAGCATCAGCAGCCGTCACCGCCGCCAGCAGGTGCAACCCCTGAACCAGTGGAATTCGCAACACCACGGACTGTGGATTCGACGCTGGATGCCGATCACGATACTGATCTGGAGGCCAGGTACCGGAGGATGGACGACCTAGTAGGAGGAGGTGAACCACCTGGACTGGCAGTGCGCGAGCTCGAAGAAGTGGCCGAACTACATGCCATCAGTGCAGATGAACCGAACACCTTCGCCGAAGCAGAAAAGAACCCGTGCTGGCTGAAGGCAATGCAGGAGGAGATGACATCCATCATCGAAAATCAGACGTGGAGTCTGGAGGATATGCCGCCGGGACACCAAGCCATAGGGCTCAAATGGGTCTTCAAACTGAAGCGCAACGAAAAAGGAGAGGTTGTGAAACACAAGGCCCGTCTGGTAGCGAAGGGCTACGTCCAGAAGCAAGGAGTGGACTTCGAAGAGGTATTTGCGCCAGTGGCAAGGTTAGAATCCGTTCGTTTCTTACTTGCAATTGCAGCACATTACTCTTGGGAGGTTCACCATATGGACGTAAAGTCTGCTTTCCTTAACGGAGAGCTGAAGGAGACTGTTTATGTCCGACAACCACCTGGCTTCCTGGATAACAACAACCCCAATAAAGTATTGCGCCTGCACAAGGCACTCTACGGGCTTCGACAAGCTCCACGAGCCTGGAACGCGAAGCTCGACAGTACCTTACTGTCACTGAAATTCAAACGTTGCGCCTCTGAGCATGGCATGTACACGCACGGCCATGACACGAAGCGACTAATCGTGGGAGTGTACGTCGACGACCTCATAATCACTGGAGGTGACATGGAAGTCCTCGGAAGGTTCAAAAAGGAGATGTCGAAAAACTTCGAGATGAGCGATCTCGGCGTGCTCAGCTACTATCTCGGCATCGAAGTGCAACAGAATTCTACCGGCATCTCCATCTGCCAAAGTGCATACGCAAAGAAGCTGCTGGACACAACTGGACTTGTGGACAGTAATCCTACAAGGACGCCAATGGAGGCCCGACTCCAACTAAGGAAGGCTGGCACTACGACGACAGTCGACTCCACCAATTACCGCAGCATTGTCGGGAGTCTACGCTATCTGGTAAACTCTCGTCCTGATCTTGCTTATTCTGTTGGATATGTGAGCCGGTTTATGGAAGCACCTAGGGAGGAGCATTTAGTGGCTGTCAAGCGCATCCTGCGCTATGTAGCCGGAACTAGAGGCTGGGGTGTAAGATACTGCGCAGGGAGCGGAAAGGAGAAACTCAAGCTAGTTGGTTACAGTGATAGTGACATGGCCGGTGACGTTGATGATCGTAAGAGCACTAGCGGAATGATCTACTTTCTCTCAGGCGGCGCAATCTGCTGGCAATCAACAAAACAGAAGGTAGTTGCTTTGTCTTCCTGTGAAGCAGAATACATCGCCGCTTCGATGGCAGCAACACAAGGGATCTGGCTTGCGCGACTAATGGAAGAACTCATCGGGAGAGAAAGTGATCCACCAATGCTATACGTAGACAACAAAGCTACGATCTCCCTGATCAAAAATCCAGTTTTGCATGAACGAAGCAAGCACATAGAAATCAGGTTCCACTACATTCGAGAATGTGCAGATCGAGGGCTCATCAAAATTGATTACATCCGAACAGAGGAACAACTTGGAGACATCTTCACCAAGTCCCTGGCGCGGGTGAAATTTGAAGAACTACGCTCAAAGATCGGAGTTCAAATAGTAAGGTAGATATACTACAGGTTTTAGGAGGAGATTGTTAGATAAAACCTGAGTTTTACCGTTTTTCTTATTCACACGATTTCAGAAAATCGTGAGTTTGACCATTTGACAAATCACGTCGAATGGATCACCAGAGTTTTAGAAGGGAGTGGCACAGATTTAGTTGGCCACTCTCCAGCCAATTTTAGAATTCCTTTTTACTTTAAATAGGAGAATTGTTCAGAAAACAAAACAACCTCAACGCAGTCAAATTCAGAGTTATTTTTTTCTCTCTCCTTTTTGTTACGCATTTTCTGAATTTCCTCTAAATTCTGTGAAAACCAACATCAGTCTGGAGGATTTGGTCAAGAGATTGCAAACAACGAAGGAGCAAGAATTTCGAAGAGAAAAGCAAACGAGGCCGTTGGCAGTGGAAACAAGAGCAGTAGAAGGAATGCCAGAAGGAAGCGAAACGGAAACAGAGAGCGGCAAGCTCCGCCAAGTTCCGTGAGCAGAATCGTACAGAGGTAACTGACGAAAACATTGCGGATGCGCCAGCAAGAGGAAGGAGGAGAAAGAGGAATCAGAGTGCTTAGAGACGAAAGAAGGAGAATACAAGAGAGAATCAAAATGCTTACAAGTCGATCTTAGGTTAAAACAGGTTCTGAGAGGAAGAAAAGAGAGTACGTGATCAAGAAGTTCCGGTGGAAGTCGGCTCCAGATGCCGGGATCCATTTCCGGCGACGTGGAGCCTACCGGAGAAGAAGGAACGTCCTTGGGCTTGGCGGTGACGACGGAGAGTCCACTGAGCTTGGAGAGATATTTGAAGCTACTGGATTTTTCTCTAATTTTCATATCTGAAATTCTGAAGAACATGACGAAGAGGTAAAATGGCGCGGCCTTTTTATTTGCCATTCGACGGCAAAATTAGTACATAACGACAAAACATTTTAAATTATCACAATAATTATTTCTTAAAATTAATTTTTTTTCTCTGTCTAACTTTTATTATTTATAATTTTGCAATTTGTTTTAGTTATTAAATATCTTAGTTAAATACCCAACATTAAAAATCTTATTTAATTTTATAGAAAGGTGGATTAAAACTATTTGATTTCGGGTAGACTAATAAAACTAATGTAATAAGTGAAGTCGTCATTGATCCATTAGTTCAGACATCAAACTACTCGTGTCTGCCTCTATAATCACCTAATTGTGATGCAACTCAAGTCCCCATATCCGCTCTTTTCTGCAACTTTTTAATGAATAATTTAATATCTTACCTAATCTTCGTGTTTATCTAAACTTGATTTAATAAAACAAAAAAATTACTTGAATTTAAGCTTATGAGGTAACTAGGCTCACTGTTGGAACGCTTGAATTGAATGGTTGTGTATGATTTATGTGATATGTGCACCCTCATGCATGATCGATCAAGACTTGTACGATTATATGTATGTTTATACAAGACATCATGATCTATAAATATTTTATGAACTATAATGGAAACAGTGTGTAACGACGACCCATGCTCATGATACAAATTAGGATTCAAAATTCGAATTCGACACCAACTAATCCCGACATTCTTCTGCATATCTCGCAATATCAAAAGGTCACTCAACATAAAATTGCTTTAAGTAAAACAAGTTTAATTTTGAAGCTCTTATGATTGAGCCACCAAGATGCAGCAGGTTGGTATGGATAATAACTTTCAATTCTTCTAAATCTTTTTCAGTCATTTTATGCTCAAAGATCACTCTCATTTATATATAGTTTTTGGTTCATTCGTGTACCGCTCATTAAAAATAATGAAGAATACATCAAATCCCTAAACACAAATTAAGTCAACTAAGGGATAAGTGAGATGTTTGAATATGAAATAAGTGAATGAATTGTGAGGAGTAGAATAAGCATACTCAATTTGAAGGTTCCACAAAACGTGCAATGGCAATGGCTACACATTCATATGGTCTTTATTTTTATGCAACTAGTGGAATTCAGGAGTAATAGAGCTTGGGCTCCCACTATAAACTCCATTTGAGTATCACAACTTGCTTACTTCTGGCCCTCTCTCACACCCTAAATGGCATGCCCACAACGCTGCTTGGCTGGCCTCTGCCCCCTCTAATTAATACACAAACTGATCTTCCTTCACCCTCCCACATAGATTAATGCCTTTTTCTGATTTTGATGTTATGAAATGGAGATACGACATAAATTAATTTTCATCCATTTTTATAGATGTGCAAATATGACATTCAAATATGTTTATGGTCAATTAATTAAGCTATAAGTAAAGTTTTATTGACTAATTCAAACAATTTTCCTCATCTCCGCGATTGCCATAAGTTTTCTCAAAGTCTTCATCAACATTTTCAAAAATAAAACTCTAGAGATTGAAATTCAAACACGGTTGTTAGCATATTCCTAAAACAGTGTAACAACACAGATCCCTATAGCAGATATTGTCCTTTTAGGCTTTTCCTTCCGAGATTCCCCTCAAGACTTTAAAACGCATTTGTTAGGAGAAAGTTTTCACACCCTTATAAAGTATGGTTTATTCTCCTCCCCAACCAATGTGGGACATCACAAAAAGTCATACACTAAAAAGCTGATCAAAGATTATATCCATGTATTTCCAAATCATGACAGTATCATTCTAGAACAAACCCAAGTTTTCAATCATATAATTGCGTATCCAAGACATTATAACAAAGTTACCAAGCACGATGAAAAAGCTACAAAGTCAAACCCAACGTGGCTTTAGTTTGAAACATGTTTATTACTAATGAACAAGATGTGGAGTTTTTTCAAGTCCACGCTATAGTATAGTGCACGTCCTAGTTGACAGTTTGAAAGAGAGGGCAGAATCATTCAAAGATGATACAAATCTGGAAAGTTATGTACATGGTGGGCAGAGTTTTATGGATGGCATCAGCGTTGAAACCGAACGTCCTTGTGGAAGAGGACAATCAGTCGCTCCAGTTATCTTTGTCTGCACTGGATTCCCAATCCTGCGAGTCCACTAAAATGGAATAAGCTACCAGGAAACTTCATTGATATTAATGGAAGGCAAATCCAGAGTTATTTAATTCCATTACATGCAGGGGCATGAGTTCAGAAGATGTACCAGTTCGGTAGAGTCCCGGGATGGTGACCAGACGAGAATTTGCCTATCGTTCCCACCAGTGTACAGTTCCTGAAGAACATTGCAAAATTTTGAAGCAACTTTTATCATTTGTTCCACAATTTTTCGAATTCAGTTGAACCAACCGTACCTGATCCTGGAAACTATACAAGCAACAGTTCACAGCTTCGTAATGGCCGCTAAGCGTCAGGGATGCCTTCCCTGTCCACATATCAAATGCCTAAAAGTTCAAGAAGTTAACTAGATTACACGTAAGCTGTAGACACAAAGAAGCTGAAAGATATAGGAAGAAGTATGTACTTTAATATTTGCCATGCATGGAGCAAATACAAGGGCTGAGTCTTGAGATGTGGCTAATTGCAACGGCTTATTGGTATGTAATCTCACGGTTTCATAATTCACGAGCGTGTTACACCCGGATTCGACATCCCACAACTTTAACCTTGAATCAGAACCTGGAATCAGAATCCAAATTTAACATCTGATCATTTTATATGGGGGTGGGACGGGGGAATAACAGTATAACATGACTGCCTCAACCGATTGTGAAAAAAGAAATTCAAACAAGAAGATATTGCTAATGAACTGTCGTTAGTAGATTTAATTATATCACAATTCAGATAGAGGGTCTAATAAAGAACTCAATTCTCAAACTATCAAGATTTGTTAAAATAACATTAATGCAGATCTTGTTATTGATATTTCAACACTCCTATCAGCATCATTATCACCAGAAGTAAGGTACATGACTAACATGTACAAAAGGATTTTCAAAATACTCAATTATAGGTATCTTCTTTTATAATCAAAATCTAACGGCGTTCTCATTTTAAATTCCCCTTGTGCTTCAACTTGATCAATCCACTAATTTTTCCTCCATCAAGGCACGATGTCCGGCAGCCGCATACTAGGAAAATCATGGCTTTTAATAGATGATTAATTCCAGAAGAAAATGAATATAAAACAGTTAAACTATATTTAATTGGATTGGAAAGGGTTGACAGGGTAACTCCACCTGCACTGAGAAGGTACATGCCATCTCCAGTTACTTTTAATCCAGTAACAGCACCGTAGTGAGAAACTGCTCGATCCTGGCTGGACAAAAGCCCTGGGTGTAGCCTCTGCCTTGTGGATCCCTTAGCTGGCAGTTTACCTGTAGTAGATGATGGCTTTGTTGCGTTTCCATTGGTGGCTAGTTTCTTATGAAGTATGCGAGATTTCATATTTGAACCTTGGCTGGCCAAATGGGACTTAGATGTTGATAGCTGAGAAAAAATAAAATAAAATCTATTAATTGACAAACAAAAGAACTGGTGGATACCGTGATAGCCAAACTAGGGAGGAGAGGGACCTTATTTGCAGTCCATCCTGAAATAGGTGGACGTCGCCCGAGCTGGGATTGAGACTGATCTAGAACTCGAAAACATCCAGCTCGTCTGATGTCCCAAAAACGAATTGCTCCATCACATCCGCCAGTAATCAAAACCCACTCGCTAGAAGCTGACCATTCTACACTCATTACACCATCTATAAAATGATAATATAAACATTAATGTCAATAGATATGATTTACATAGATAGATAGGCAAAACAGAAAAGACTGGTTGAATAAATTTCATAAACAATCAGGTGTTGCAAATTGTAAAACGGGTAAAGTACTACACAATGGGAAAGCAAAACTGGAAGGGGGCATAGATCAGGGAAATTAATAATCAAGCTCTTAAACTGTTTGTCATACAGGTATTTACATCTTCCACAAATTGATTAAAACTAAGGACTGCAATTGCTGTAATATTTTGAAACTAAAACAATTGGTACAACTTAAAGAGAGCAACAAACTCTCTTAGAATTAAAAGTACAGACCACCACCATACCACGATGTCCAGATAAGGTGTGAGAAAATGCCCCCGATGAAATATCACAAAGGCGGACTTGAACATCTTCTGTTCCAGCAGCAATCAGCATGTGTGATGTTGCCAAAGAGGACATGGCTGTCCTATAGACTTTTCCAGGCAATTTAAAGTTCACCACCACCTACAAGAAGGAAATATTAGTTTATAACAAAATTGCTGGTAAAACCCACATGATCACTAAGTTACCTACCTGAGTTGTATTTGTATCCCAGACATTAATGTGATGATCATATGAACCTGTGACAAACAATCCAGTATCAATGGGATACCATATGGCCGAGGAAATTGCATATTTATGTCCATGTTCATGCTGCTTATCAACTGCAAAAAGGCATTGGTATTTTGCAATAAGACCCTCAGAATGAGATGCACGTTGAATATCAAAAACAGCAGCCGATGCATCTGATGCTCCAGATAACAAATATCTCCCCTCCGTCAAATCGACCTGATTTCATGACCCAGAATGTCGGTGCTAGATGTTCTTATTAGTTTTATAAGCACGTTATGAAAATGGAACATAGATACCTACTAAAGAATGAAATCAACAAAAATCAAGCTTATAAAATCCGAACACTCAACTAGCTCTACAACACCAAACTTCCTTTAATAGCCACAAGTGTTCAAGCCAACTTACATGCGCCTTGACTACTCTCAGGGCACAATGTGCTTGGCTCTACAATATTTGATGTCAAGAACTCATGGAATATTTCATATCCTATGAGCCACCATGGTTTAAACCCATGACGACCTCAAAGACCATCTAGCTTTAAAATTTTTGCTTCTTTAACGATTGGGCCAACCATGGTGGTTGGGCTACAAGACCATAATCGACCTAAAAGAATGTTGAAATTCAGAAGAAACAGAATGAGGTAAAATAAATATAAAATATGTTAATAGAGTTATCAATAGAACAATAATTATAAAAGAACACCAATGTCAATCAGATAAAATGCTTACTAAAGATTGCTCTTTGTGACGTGTGTTCGAAAATTTTATTGCCTATGCATGACATATACTGAAGTCAAGCTTAAAAAAAGTATAATATTAAGCTAATTCTGCGGGGTCAGTGAAAAACAAAGACCTATATGATGCAACAAATTGAGTTCATATCTTTGTTGTAGTCATAAATCCAAAAAGGATTTCAAGTTGCTTTATATACTTATCCTTTGTAGTTCTCCACTTGGTTCAAAACAGAATCAGTTTTCCAAAAGGTAAACAAAGTCCAATTATAAACTCAGCAACTTTAGAAAGTTCCAAAATGAAAACTTCTCTATAATCAACAAAAGTCATCCTAACTCCTGATTCTGGCTTAGGAGAGCACAATTAAGAACATAAAGTCAATGAAGACCTCATTAAGATGTTGAAGTGCTAAACAACCATTTCAGGAGGTACTACAACTTTTATTATTTTTTTATTAACTTTTGTGTATTCGGCCCTTGTGATCCTTACTTTCTGTTATGTTCATTTAGTTTTCATACGCTGCCACTTTTATGGGTTTGTTACCATTAAAGTGTTGATATATTTCAATTTACTATAACCCGTCAACTTAAAGCTAAGCTTTGGAGTTACTTTGGAGTTAATTGGTGATTTAACATGATATCAAAGAAAGAGCGCTTGTGTTCAAAACCCTATAAAGTTATTCCCCCAATTAATAGTGATTTTCGCTTATTGTGATATCTACAAGTTTCCAAGTCCACAATTGAGGGAAGAGTGTTTAAACGTTCATATACTAAATTTATCATAACCCATCAGCTTAAGCTTTTGGGTTCATCGGTGATTTAACCATTATAAGCTTAGCCTATTTAATACAATTTGTCCTCGGTGAATCTTAGCTCATTCACGTTTTCTAACTTCTTTTGTTGTCTCTCTTCTGCCTCTCCTGGCTCAAGCTTCATGGTATCCTTCTCCCAGAAGAAGAAGTAAAAGAACATGAGAGAAAGAGAAGAAGAAGAAAAAAAAAAAAAAAAATGACTAATCTCCTTTCTGGTTTAGGTCCTCCACCGTCAATCGGCAACATCAAATTCCAACTAGAACTACACCGATAGAAACTAGAATTCCAGCTACAACGAAGCTACACACGTTTAAAGGTTTTTGGTTTCTATGGTAGGTCACAATACTAAATGGAAAATCCACAAACTAAACTTCTCCTTTCCTTTTTCGCGTTGTGCAATTAATAGAAATGAATACAACCCGAGGGCAATAATTAATTATGACAAGCGTGCGATTAGCAGAAATAGGAAACTTACAATCTAATCCGATAATTTCAACAAGTAAATAACACCCCAAACGAATTCAACATGGCCAAAAAAGAACTAAGTTGGACAGCAAAAAGATCTGAACTCAAACCAGAAAGAAACTATAATCGAACAATGTCCAACTTCGTTCATTCAAATCAATTAAAATGCAAATTGTTTCAATGTAGGATAAGAAATCTAGGATTACCTGAAGTGAGTTGACGGAACCTCGATGGGGAGAGACAATGTCCTTATGATTGGAAAGTTGCAGACTGCTGACTCGATCGGATTTAACACGATTAGCAAAAGAATTTGGGCGGAGTTTTCCCGCTTCTCTATCTCTAATATCCTTCCACATTCTCCAAGCATCTTTGCCCTCATGCAAAAACGCTGTATCTTCCTCTCTGTCTCTATCTATTTTCCTGCAACAGTATCTCCCCCACTTGATTCCTTCAAACACTGCGTCGAAAATCTGTCAAGTCCAAGGATGTTTTACCCTTCTCTCCAACCCCAATTCGGAGGCCACCAATTGAAGCTTCCTCTTGATTCGGTGCTCTCTGTTTCTCCTTCTTCGTTATCTCTCTCTCTCTCTCTCACAATTATTATTGGGACTCAGAGAGACGACAGATGATCGCTTTGGGCTTCCCTGTGATTAGGGCTAGCAGATCCAAACTTACGCGTCCGCAGAACAAACAATTTGGCCCAAACTTCTAACATGCATCTCACTTTGTCGTGATCTGTAATAATTATAAATCGTAAATTAATTAATTATTATCAATAATATATATGATTTACTTTTATGTTAGATCCTATATTGGTTAGAGAGAAAAACGAAACATTCCTTAAAATTGTGAAACTCACGGCGATGCATAACGAACCAAAGCAGACAGTATCTGCTAGCGATGAACTTGAGTTATTACAAATGGTATTAGAGTCAGACACTAAGCGGTGTGCTAGCGAGACGCTGATCTCCCAAGGAGATGGATTGGACACTTGACCCCCAAAGGAGTGGATTGTGAGATCCCACATTAATTGGAGAAGAGAACGAAGCATTCAAGGGTGTAGAAATCTCTTCTTTGTAGCGCGTTTTAAAATCGTGAGGCTCAAAGCGATACATAACGAGTCGAAGTAGACAATATTTGCTAGCGGTGGGTATATTATTACCGAGTAGCATAATAGTCCTCCAATCAAAAGCATTAAAATAAAAAAATGAAAAACTTAAAAAAAAAAAAAAAAAAAACATTGCCAAAGCAATGTTTGTAGAGAAAACCAAAAGATAAAAGCTGTTGGATTATGAAAATCTGTGATGTTTGAAGCATGAGAAGAACCAAAATGCAGGCAATGACTGCTCATCATCGGACAAGCCTCCTGATTGACCAAAATGACTGGCCATTTACCAGCATGAGGAACCCACCAAGGCCCTTACTTCTGATATCAACAGGTTAAAAATTGAGTAGCAATCTAAAAAAATGGATCTACCAACTGATATCATACCAACTGATATCAACAGGTTGCAATCCTTGGTTGGGACTTGCGATGGTTGCTGGATTTTGAAGCAATGAACTACTCTCATCAGTTAACCAGTAAACATCAATATCCAATTACAATATTATGATCCACAAAAGAATGTAAATAATCAGAAACTGTTCTATAATTGCTTTTTTACCAATTTTCTTATACGTTAATGATATCATCAGAGTCAAATTCTTGCCAAGAGAGCAAAACATGAGTTTCTTTACAGTAATTGCATATAGAGACATAAGAAGTTAAGTAAAATTTACATGAGAGTAAAGTGTCAAAGAATCTAAGTTCACACACTTATTGCGTTCCTTGATTCATGAATAAACAAATACAAGACCGCAGTTTCATCCAATAACTTCTGTCTTGGGGGACTAGGAGTATAAAGACAAGTTGCTTGGGGTATAAGAGGATCCCAGGAAGGCGGATATATATACAATCTTTTCCAGTTATTAACACTGCACAATTGAGGCTTGCACTTCAACAGGGAACACCAAACGAGATTCATCACATTGTAAATACAAGGGAAAATAGACATCATATAATACATGAAGAAGAGCTTGATTACTTGGACACGATGTATGAGAGATAAAGAAAATATAGGACAACCGTTCATGTAACAGCCCAAACCCATCGCTAGCAAATATTGTCCACTTTAGCCCGTTACGTATCGTTGTCAACCTCACGATTTTAAAACGCATCTGCTAGGGAGAAGTTTCCACACCCTTATAAGTAATGCTTCATTCCTCTCTCTAACTGACGTGAGATCTCACAATTTACCCCCTTTGAGGGCCAGCGTCCTCGCTGGCACACCCCTCGGTGTCTGGCTCTGATATCATTTGTAACAGCCCAAACCCAACGCTAGCAAATATTGTCCGCTTTGGCCTGTTACGTATCGCTATCAATCTCACGGTTTTAAAACGCGTCTGTTAGGGAGAGGTTTCCACACCCTTATAAGGAATGCTTTGTTTCCCTCTCCAACCGATGTGAGATCTCACCTGCCATAGTTTGTAAAATCCTTCGCCAGACTAACCTACATAACCTAGGACGAGCCCAACTACGATATATTCCATTTGCACAATCAAGTTATTTTGTTGTCATGGATTGTGGGTGTGGCATAGTGGTACAAGACTAATCTGATAACCATAAACGTAATGCGCAGAAGAGCTTATTGAACTTTAGCTGCTAGAAATTTCACTTACAGAAAAAAAGAAGAAATGAAGCTGGCCCATAGATTACTGCCTCAGCCCATACTCCACTGCATAAACAAAAACAAGTAGAAAAGTTTTGAATCACTTGCTATATTATCATCTGTTAGCAAACAAGGCTATCATCAACATGCTCTGATAAACTGCATCTAAAGTGAAACAAATTCTATGAGCGAAAATATTATGGGGTTCTTTTAAGCTATATTACCGACCACAATAAAGAATCTAAATATAACTGACTGTATAATATCAATTAACAAACAACAAACACAACTGGAATATGAATGACCTTAAGAACTGGTTCTCCCTTGTTAGCGTTAGCAGATTGCTTTGCATTTGCTGCCATCTGAGCACGTGCAGCTCTTCCTGCAGCAGATTTTTCAAATTCTTCTTGCCTGCAAATATTTATATCATTTCAGTACAAAAAAAACATTGATGATTCAATCATAGCTTCTCATTTAAGACTGAATGCTCAATTCATCATCAAAAGGAGAAGCTGGAAGTACTTCAATAGTTCAATGTTAACTATAGCAGATACATCCTTGGTATGAACAAGTAATTAATGTATGCCCAAGTGTACTTTTTAGGAAAAAATTGGTGGGGGCAATTCATTCATCCCAAATTAGAGCACTCATGGCTCCTTTTTCTTGCTTTCTTCCTCGCTTTTCTTTAATAAACCTGAAGACTAAGCTTCATTCGATTGCTTAAAAAAAAATAAAAAATTAAGCAGTCTTCGTGACAAAAAACATAACGATCAACGGTAGCCCTTTGTGACAAAAACCCCAAAATTCATTCCCCTACAGAACAGTCACATCCCAGACCTGAACAATTAACATTGACTAACAAGACCGAAGTGCTGATCAAAAAACATAACGATCAACGATAGCCCTAATCAAATGATAAACTGCTCTAATTGTAAAGGATCGATCAAGATGTACAGAAGTTCCGAATGAAAGTTAAAAGTGAGGGAGGAGGAAGCTACCTTCTCTGAGCTGCTTCGGCAGCTTTGGACCGAGCTTCAACGGAGGCCAATCTTTCTTCCTCTTTTCTCTGTTGCTTTTGGTCTTCGTCCAGACAACTCACGCATTGCCCCATCGCTTTGCTTGCAGTTGCAGGTTTTCCCTCGAAATCTCGAATGGGTATTTTCACTATCAATTTTGACTTTCTTGGCATTCGTATTATATTGGACGGTTAGGATTGAATTTACAATACCTAACGTTATCTTACAGCGCCATGTCATTCTCCGCTTTTACAATCCTAAAAAATTCCGTTTACAGCTCAGATTTCTATTCCTTGCCACGTATTAAATTCCATTTTCAACTTTTTAAGTTTGTGCTATTTTAATTATGTCTAGATTAAATTTTAATTAATTATTTTTAATTACATCTGATTTTAAAAAATTATGGGTTTTCATATTAAAATATTATTATGACTGATTACAAATATTTGACGTCAGTAATCAATGTTAGTAATGTGTTATGACTTATAAATATTTGATGTTTGAAATTTATGAGATTTTAATTATTAATGTAACATGTATTGTAAATAATTAAAAAAATAACTTAGAGAACGCAACTCAACCCTAGATAGGATTGGGTTATGAACTCTATTTGAGTTGTTCGGGTCATCAAACTAACCAATTTGAAATTCGAATTGGTCCCAAAGATTTTTCCAACCAAATCCATGTATACCTCTATTAAGAACAGTTGTGTTGGTGAACGAGGGAATTAGGCAAAGCTCGAACTAGAAAATGAACCAAAACGCAAGAGCAAAGGAGAGAAAAACCATAACACGAGCGTCAACGAGAGTCAAAGCCAAACCCATAGCACAAACGGGAGCCAAAACTAAAAGTAGTGTCAGTATAACATAATAACATTGTGTTATTTTAGTCATGTACTTGTTCTTGTTATTCGCTATCACTATACTATTTTTCAAGCTTAGTCTATCACTCTTGCATAATCTATGCATGCTTTTACTACTGCATGGTTATGGGTCACGCTCAGTCTATCACTCTCTATCCAAAAAAAGTCTACTTCAAGCTATCTATCGATTCCCCTCTTGCTTTCATTCTCAATCTACAACCTACTATTTTCTTATTATCAATAAACTCAACTCAATCGTCATCATGCTCCAATTTCATGCACAATCGACACCCAAATTCTTGACTTTAACAAAATCCTAGTCCCGAATTTAGATCTTTCCTTTTTATAGCTTGCTTTCCATGCATAACTTATCGATCATTTGCACCTTTTGGTGCATCTGGCAGCACTTATGTATACTTAATCCCAAGCAATTATGATATGAGAATGAACTATATGATTAATTTTGTTCATTTTCAATTATGGTAAGATATAATTGAATAACAATTATGACTTGAAAATAAATAGGTCGTCGAAGATGCAAAAGAGTAAGACTGTAATTAACTCAAGCTCATGATATGATAGATTGTTTGAGAAAGTAGCAGACTAAATCACGATGTGCAGTTGGTCGAACAACTACAGTTATGATACACATTCACATGTGCAGTTGGTTATGAAGTACAAACTAAACATTATAAAATGGAGGTGAAAAAGGGCTTCGTTTCAGATCAACTGAATTATTCTAGGACATTTGAGTGAGCTGTTACATTATTAGCTTTTGCAATTGCATTACTTTTGGAGTATAATATTGATAGGAGGATGATGGGTCCTTATTGGTTTGTGATTTGTGATGTTCTTTTAATAGCTTTAATGTCATGCCTTACAAATGAAGAAAGTGTCACTCTAATCACGAAGTAAAGGTGTGTAACAAGCAACTGTTAGTAGATATTGTTCTTTTTGGACTTTTTTTTTCGGGATCCGGCGTCTTCACTAACACACTGCCTGATGTCTACCCCCTTCGGGGCTCAGCATTCTTGCTAGCATACCACTCGATGTTTGGCTCTGATATCATTTGTAACTGTCTAAGTCCCTATTAACAAATATTCTCCGTTTTAGCTTGTTACATATCACCGTCAGCTTCAGAATTTTAACACGCATCTACTAGGGAGAGATTTCCACACCCTTATAAAGAATGTTTCGTTTATCTCTCAAACCGATGTGAGATCTCACAAGAACCGCTTCGAAGTTGGGAAGCAAGCAGGCTATCCGCTGAGGTGTGTTGGCTTTTCAAACTTATGGCCCCTCCGGTTCCCATCCTTCCTTTACAGCAAATGCCATCTCCATTCTTTCTTTCTGTTTTTTCAAGGGTTGAACCTCTGGCTTTAGATGAAATTTAAAAAATTTTCCGTCTAAATTTTGTTTAATTAGTTAAAACGTTAGTATCAGTTCATGTTAGTCCTTGAACTTTCTTACGGCTTTTAACAGATCTCTTCACTTATTGCTAACTCTAAGAACTGGACTTTAAAAGTAACTTAAAAAGCAAGCATGTATGGCCCCACGTACGTATAATTTCAATCGACTGATACGTTATACGAATTTTTCGTTAGAACATATGATAATACAGAAACCAAACTATAATTTGAACTCTAAGAAACAATTTCTAAAATAATAATCAGTAGTAATCAGATTTATTGTTAAATTTATCATCAATGAATCCTAATCCAAAATAAAGCTATTGTCCACGTACCTGTCATCATGATTGTGTGCTTCCCCCACTGAAATTATATATCCTTTGCTTCGTTTTTTCCTTTTCTTCCAAACAAAGCTCATTTCTTTCACTGAAGCCTCCACGGAGAAGAAGAAACCTTCACTGCAAGACAATGGCATTTGCAGGCACAACCCAGAAGTGTATGGCTTGTGAAAAGACCGTCTATCTCGTCGACAAGTTGACCGCTGATAACCGTGTCTACCACAAAGCCTGCTTCAGATGTCACCATTGCAAAGGAACTCTCAAGGTAAGATGGGCACTGGTTTTTGTTCCTCTTTTTTGTCTGTGGCTAATGAAGGAGCTGGAACTTAAACTGAAGTTGTTCATCGGTTTTCAGCTCAGCAACTACAATTCCTTTGAGGGGGTCCTTTACTGCAGGCCACACTTTGATCAGATCTTTAAGAGGACTGGTAGTCTTGACAAAAGCTTTGAAGGTACAAAATTCTTGTTTGAATGGAACTGATTCTTCAGGTTTCGATGCTAATTCTCTGTCGGATCTGTTTCTTTTTCGTGTTTTTAGGGACACCTAAGATCGTAAAACCAGAGAAACCGATTGATGGCGAGGTAATTCCCTGTTTCCCTTGAGATTGTTACCTGAAGAATTTATTATATCTCTCCCCTTTGATCTCAAAAATGCATCAACAGAAACGGGCAGCGAGCAAGGTTGCTAACATGTTCGGTGGAACAAGAGATAAATGTCTTGGCTGTCATAACACCGTGTTTCCAATAGAAAAGGTAATGACAAGACCCGAGTTTTTCTTCTTCCTCCTTTCGTTTCATTAACTCAATGAGCAAATCCGACCTCTGTCAATGGTTTCTGTTTCAAGGTTACTGTGAATGGAATTCCATACCATAAAACTTGCTTCAAATGCTGTCATGGAGGATGCACGATCAGCCCTTCAAACTACATCGCTCACGAGGGGCGACTTTACTGCAAGCACCACCATATCCAACTGATCAAGGAGAAAGGAAACTTGAGTCAGCTTGAAGGAGACCATGAAAAGATAACAAGGGAGAAAATCAATGGTGGAGAGGTGGCTTCTGAGGCCTGATCTGCACAATCTAGCTTTCTCTTCTAGCTATCAGATCAGATAAGATACCCTTATATCCTCCTCTGCTACCCTCAAGTCTTTTAAGGCTATGTACTAAGAAAAGTACAAGCATCCGTTGTGTTTCTTGTTAAAAGTGTGTTTTTTTGGCCTCTCTGTTTCTTATATATTCAAATAACATGCTCAAACAGATGCCAAGAAGAGTGGCATGTTTGATTTTCACCACCTTTCATACTGAAGAAGAGTGGCATGTTTATGAATCTGAATCGTCTTCCTGTCAATTCCAATGGATGCTCATAATTATATGATATGAACCGAGACATCAATCATGCAATATAAACTTCAAGGAAAATGGAAAGAAAATGTTGTTAAAATTATCAAAAGATGCTTCAATTCATGCCACATGGAAGATGAATCAAGTTTCATTGTTATAAATTTTGGGTGGATTATAATTTCGAGTTATGGTGTTTACTTAATGTATTTTAGGACTTATTTACACGTAGTTAATTATAGCTATAAAGAATACATAATGGCTAATTATGGTCATGAAATATAGTTACAACTCTTAAAATGTCTCGTGAAGGTTAAAGGTGGAAAGTTTCTTTGCAATTCTATGTAGTTTAGGTTGCATGTAGAATCATTAAACCTTGACATGATCAATCTTGCTTGTGAAGTGATTTGAATCTCAAACAAGTGTTCTTGCCTTAAGACATTTGATCAACAACAAGGTGATCTGAATCTTACTTCTCTTACAGTGATTCCTTATCATTTGGTATCAGAGCTTTCCTTTGGGTGGATTTCATATCATTATACATCTATTTTCCATGTTTAATCCGTATTTTCTTTCATGGTTTGTTCTTATTTTTGACTCCTCATTCTGAAGGTTGGCTGCTTATCCTATAAGTGGCTACTATGTCTTTTGACTAAGCTCACAGCCCTTTTCAATCTATGAGGTCAAAAAACCTGTATACAATAGGGACAAACCATGCTTTCAGATCAACCATTCTAGCTTTACATGAAAAAGAAAAAGAACATTGTATTTGTGACCTTTTGACATATCAACAATTCATAATCAATCTGTACATTGTATAAAGAATAATCTTGGCCAAAGAATGTATCAAATCATTACAATGTTAACTAAAAGGAGAATCAATAAACACATTATTCCACAGTATCCAGAATTAAACCATTTCGAGCAATGTGCTTCAGGTCTATAATAAAGTTATCCCTAAGGAAACCGAACCCAAAAGTTCCATTATTGTATTGCCAAATTCTTCCCTCGACATTACGAGGATTTGGAATACTTCCAGCCAGGTCCGGTAGGACTAGATCATAACTCGAGTTCACGCAAAGGATGCGAGAAATCTTTTTATTTTCTACTGAAGGCACTAGCTCTTCAATGTCATTGGCTGGTAGAGGCCGAACATGTATTCGACAGTCATATAAAAGTTCTTCCTCAAGGGAGAATGGAGTTTCCAAGAACGTAGTATTCGATGTCCAAAACACGGGAGCATTACTAGAGAAACGTTCGGACGAGTCCCTAACCCTCCGACAAGAAATGCCACCAATGTCATCATATACAACAAGATAGAAATCCATGCTCATATCATCACTGATTCCCTGCAAGATGAAATAGGAGTCCATGCTATATCATCTCACATAACCAGCACTATTGTACCACTTGCAAGAATGAAATTAAAATCAACAAACAACTGTTTTACTCCTAACCAGCCAAAGAAACGATCAAATTGACAAAAAATACAGCATGTTTCTTCATCTAGCTCAATTGGTACAGATATCAGAGCCTAACAATGATCACATCAGCTATACAACATAGAAACATCAATAAACCCACCTGCAATTTCTGAAATCAGATGGTTTGAATGTTTCCAAGCCATTAAATTCTCAAGTTTTGGTAGCATGTTCTTAATATTTTGTTGTATTGTATATATCAAGCTAGTTGAAAGACTACATAAACACAATGAGGTAAGAGAGGGAGACAACACCTTCCACAAGCCCTGTAATGGCCGAAATGGTGTGGGCGAGCAATTGACAATTTTAACGAAATGCTCTGGTTCCCATTTCTTCTTTCCTAGCCTTTCCCTCTCCCTCCTCCTTTGCCTCCTTGAAGCTCTATCCCCACCAGGACTGGTTCTATTCGCAAAATGCTGATAAATTTCTGACATTAATTGGTCCGGTAAGCTTCCTGGAGAGCCACTTGCCACTTCGTTCACATCAGTTGCGGCGGCCAAATTGGCGAAACTTGAACTCCGGCGGAATCCCTTTTTCCTTTGTTCTGGGGAATTCGGATAAACAAACGTCTGATTTTCCTCGATGACAAAATGATTTTTCCCCATGAAGCTCAAATCGATGGGAACCAAATCGCAATCGGAGAAATCGGATTCCCCCAAATCCGAAAATTTCCCGGCGAAGTCAGAACAGCCCTTGGGGTCAATAAAACCCATGGCCTTACCTTCTGAAGAGAGCCCCAGCCATAGAAATGGAGACTTAACCACGTCGTAAGTACCGTTACTCGATGGAGAAACCCTAAATCCTGCGAGAAAATCCGATCCCCATTCGAAGAACACCAGCGGGGGCGATGATACGCTAGACGAGCCACTCCGGCGCCAAAAACCTAATAAATTCTCCCATTGAAGAAGAGTTCTATAGAGTAACCTGTAAGTAAGGTTTCCTTTTCCCCAATTCTTGATCTGAGTTTTGGATCCCCATCTCCGATCGCACATCGTAAACCACAGTTTCCGATCATTCCTACAGAGCGAGACGACTCTCTTCGATGTACAAGAGAAATTGACTACATCGGAGGGAGAGAGGAAGGAGAGAATACATAACTGAACATCTTCAGGAAAGTCCGTGAAGGAGAAGGAACCCATCTCATCAAATCCGGAGCTAAGATTCGCCATGTTTGCAGCTCTATGAACAGATTTTCTCGGAAAATCCGGATTTTCCCAATGAAATCAGCAAAATAAACTTGCGTGACAAATTGAGGTTTTCAGGTGCGAGGAAGAGCAAATCTGAAAAAAAAAAAATGGAGGCAAACTCGAAGATTCCTTATCGGAGTAAGGAATTTATTCCTCGGAAATCCGCCGAGTCCAACTTAGTTTACGAGTGTTCCAAGAAACGGCCCAATTCATTTAGAACAAAACTAAATCAAAGTTAATTAAATTGTTACTTAACCAAAAGCTCAGAATCAAATCATAAATTACAAATATTTATTTTACTTTGACTAAATCTAAAAAGTTTGCTTTTTTATTTGAATTAAATTTTATTTGATAATAGAATATACAAATTATTTTCTTCCTTTTGATAAAATCCTTACGAAACTCTAAACCAAAGAATATTTCCAATATTGATGGAAATACTTTACGTGGTCATCAATCATCAAGAACACCCATCACACGTCCTCATTCCAGCACACGCCACGTCATAACTATCTCGATTTCAATGGCCATGCTTTGGCCATCCCACGCCACGTGAGCCCTTCGATTCACCGAAACCCGTTGCTTCAACTTGCCACCCGACCCAGGCCCATTTCTATCTTCAATGTCAAAGGCTCGGCCCACAAAATCATGGATCGTCTCTAGGCCCAAATTTAGTCTCCAACATTTGATTTGATGGAAGAGTCCGATTCATACCATGCTATTCAAACGAAAGATTTACACACGGCCGAGGCTGAGATGCGGACAGAGAAGACTTCTTGGCCCTTCCAAAAATGGTGTCATGAGCTAATTCAAATCAGAGTGAAGCCTTCTCCGTCTCTATTCTAGCGAAATTCTCTATTTATTTTAGCAGGAATTGTACTCGGGATTCTCTACCGATAATTTTTCTCGGTTTATTATTTTTATAAAAAAATAGTCATTTAATTTTCTATGATGTAATATTCTATATTTGATTTCTTATTGCTTTTGCTGTAAAATCACCGATTATACCCTTAAATACATGGTTACCAGATATCCACGAAGAGTCACATTACAGTACTTGTATGCTTCTAGCTGGAATCTTATTAAAAATGGAAGCATATGGATTAGTTCGGATCAATATGGAATACTTTTCATTTTTCAACATAAACGGTAAATTGGTGTTAATTCACTCGTGTTATTAGAGATTAGAGTTGAATCATTTTGTTGTAAATTATTGTTTATTGATCAAATTATTTCACCTACGGACCCCTCTCGAAGGAAACGAAAGAATCTCTCTTACTGGAAACTTGCCCGTGGAATTTAGAAAATATTTTTTAAAAAATATTTATATTAGGCAAGACGGGTCAAGGAATTAAGTAAGAACATAGAGAGGGATGGAGAATAAGTAATCTAGTTATACACTCTAAACTAAATGTAACAATATCGGCTAGTATTGGACTTGAAAGTAGCAAAATATATATATATATATATTAATAAGTAATATAGTCGTAAATTCTAAAACAAATCTTAACTTGTAGCAAAAAATCACGTGCTCGCCAGGAATAGTCTTTAAGTTTTGGTAGCTCATTTACGCTCGTAATGAAACCTAAACACTCTAACTCAAAGTTTCTCATGTTCTCACTATATGAGTCCTAAATGGTTCACTTTTGTAAGGTATCATGGTTCGGCTGGCAACTCGTAAGTAGGTTCATAATGTCATGTCTAATTTTGAGGAGCAACCTCAAAAAAAAAAAAAAAAAAAAAAAAAAAAAAAAAAAAAA